TTTTAATTCCCTTTTCATCGGCTGAATCTTCGGTTGTGACGGATATTTGTTGATGCTATAAAAACTGACTACCAAAGAATACTATTACCTTCCTTCCTGTGACCACGGGCTTACTTATAATTCAAAGAATTATTTATGTACGACCGTTTTTTATCTAAAAACCAACGACCTTTACTCCTAAATTTCTGTTAAAACGGCAAATTGTTTTATAATGCAGAAAATTTAGAAATATAATGACTTAAATGCGGGAAAGTTATATATTTCATTAGTCGTAAAAGTCACGGTAACTACTACTACTATGTTAAAAATACAGAATATTGTGTAATAACAGCCTCAAAAAAACTTCTGTTCAAAGCATCGGGTTAATGCTGTGGTCTTAATTCGAAATTACTTTTAAACGGTTGAGAATTGTTCTAAGAAACTGTTTTTTGCTAGCTCAACTATTCAGCAAATTATTTACCCTTGGTGTGCATTTGATTAAATTATACTGTTTGCTATAAGCGCGCTTTCCAGATTATCTGCTTATCCAAGGGTAGCCCATTAAAGATAAGCGGCCATTCACTCGCATTGGGTTTCTTGTTGTTCATTTTCAATATTATGTAAAGACTAATAGCTGTCAACTTGATTGATAATGGCCCAATGCCCATCAGTTTAACTTTAAGCGTCAAAAGTGAAGAAAAGTGCCATGAATTAATTAATATTAAAATCTACCATGCCACCAATTTCATACATGAATAACAATTGGCAGGAATATGTCGTATCTGATAAACAAACTGCTGACATGTTTCGGGTGACCGACAACTAGACTGAACCCAACTGAACCTATCTTTCTATATTATAATTCAAAGAATTATTTCTGTCTGTCTGTCTGTCTGTCTGTCTGTACGACCGCCCACGTGCAAATTAGATGAGAAATAGGAATTTGCATAGTAACCATAGTAACGGTGTTGAACGTGCACGTGCACATGCAATGATTGTTGTTACGACATTTTAATCGGTTTTGTGGTAATTACGTTGTGTTCAGTGCGAGCTACATTTTAATTGGCTGTATCTTCGGTTGTGACAGATATTTTTTGATGCGATAAAAACTAATATAATCTTCCTCCCTGTGATCACGGGCTTTCTAGTACTATATAATTACATAAGTCTTCATAAATCTTAAAGTTAAACATTAGCATTGGGCTACAAGGAAATGACACTATCTGTAATTACATAATTCTTCATAAACTTAAAGTTAAAGTTATACATTAGCATTGGGCTACAAGGAAATGACACTATCTGTAATTACATAATTCTTCATAAACTTAAAGTTAAAGTTAAACAATCGCATTGGGCTACAAGGAAATGACACAAAATGAGTACCTATAAGTATAACATATAATAATTCGACGAATCTTGCGAGCTTGGCTCTCCCATTGCACACCTTTCCTGTTTTTACTAACTGGCTCGTTAGAATCTTAATGTTCAGATTATTTTCTTTTAAATTAAGATTAAATTATAAATTAAGATTAAATTAAATTAAATTAAATTAAGATTTTGTGACAATAAGCACGTAGAATTGTAGGTATATTATCATTTTTTCGTTATCTTTTCTTACAATAATAAGATTAAGAAAAGATAATGAATAAATAGTAATAGTATTAGGTGTGTAGGATTCCAGAAATTTCACGACTCACAAAATTATTGTGCATTAAATTTCTATTCCGTTAACATTGGTTAGCACTTTTTGGCCAGTCCCAATCAACAATAAAAATAACGGTCATAACTGGACCATATTTAGATATATACCGTTTGGACTGTGGTCTCTGCATATTATAGAGTGACCTGTAATTCTACATCAACTCTTAAAGGACACACTTATCTTCCAGATCAAGGATTTAGTACAGTAAGCTGCGTCTTGTAGACTGGGCCGGCAATTCCACCACTTCAATAATTCAAGGTACCAAGTTTCTTATAGTAAAGTATATTAAAGTAAAGTATATTAGTAAAGCAGCTCTTAAAGTTAACCGTCCGTTAGACAAGGAGTCCCATGTGGATGAGCATAGTTTATCCTAATTTAATGGGTGCTTACTGCTTACCATGCATTAGTTAGTTTAGCATATTAAGATTTGTCCCTCTCTGCTGATCTCCCAATGCATTGTAATTGTATCACGTCGTGACCCCCGGCCAATGTCGTTTCACTATAGATTCTGCGCACTCAAAATACAGGGGGAGCCGGCCGCGCACTCGTGCGCGGCGGGTCATACAACGTATGACAACCAATGCCTCAGCCCGAAACCAACCACTTTCGGAAAAATCTCCAAGTTGGCAATGTAAATCAGTTCTAAACGGTCAACGTTTGAACAAGGAATCTCATGTGGATGAGCATAGTTTATCCTATTTTAATGGGTGCTTACCATTAGTTTAGCATATGAAGATGTGTCCCTCTTTGCTCTCCCAATGCCTTAGCTCGAAACCAACCACTTTTGGGAAAATCCCCAAGTTGGCAATGTAAATCAGTTCTAAACGGTCAACGTTTGAACAAGGAATCTCATGTGGATGAGCATAGTTTATCCTATTTTAATGGGTGCTTACCATTAGTTTAGCATATGAAGATGTGTCCCTCTTTGCTCTCCCAATGCCTTAGCTCGAAACCAACCACTTTTGGGAAAATCCCCAAGTTGGCAATGTAAATCAGTTCTAAACGGTCAACGTTTGAACAAGGAATCTCATGTGGATGAGTATAGTTTATCCTATTTTAATGGGTGCTTACCATTAGTTTAGCATATTAAGATTTGTCCCTGAGTCCCTCTCCCAATGTCCGGACACAAACCTGGCCAGAGTTCTTTTAGAGAGTTAGAGTTGTGCCTGACGTTTGGTTTTAACTCCTGCTCTCTGGAAATCTAAATTTACCGCGGACGTTTTCCCTCGAGTAAACAGTAAAATCGATAACAACTGTTTTTGCATTTTGGTATAAAAACTGATTTTTAGTCTAATGCGTCCTAAATCTAATGACAATGTCTCCAACTGCTGCTGCTAGTGAGCGCTGCACTCCTACTAAATCGCTCGCATTAATTTAAACGGTTACTGTTAGTTTTACCGTGGCGAAAGAATTTTGCCGCGGTAACAGTAACACCACCCACAATCAAATTTCCCTACCGCACACAAATACAATGTAATTGTTTTACTTTATTATATTATGTATCCGCGGCCCAGAGTGATGTTTGGCGTGCATGTAGTAATCGTTCATATTATATCAGGCGTGCAGAACTTGATAAATCCTGCGCGCATTTACCTGCATGGGGACCGCAGGCTATCATGTTTATAAACGGCGAAATGACAGGCTGAGCGCGGCCTAGTAAGCGCGCATATTTTAAGGTGTCGCCGTCGATCTGTATGTGGTTTGATTGTAGATCAATGATCATTTTATACTTTGCGCGGTTTTGTTTCGTGTTAAAAATAACGATGCGTATCATTTCACGTCATATTATTGCATTGTATGTATGCCAACTTTAATTTTATTGACTGAAATAAAATATTCTGTCTCGTCTTAGTTATTAATAGTATTTGTATCTAACATAAACTAATACGTAGAGTAATACATTTTTATGCTTACTCGACACTCCTACAGCACCATCGACTTTCGAGCTTTTTATTTGATGTAGGATTCTTTATTATATTAAAAGCATACCGCAATTTTGATATTGGTTGCTTCTCCAATGTACATGTAAAATACCATCTGTTCTCAGCTTTGTATTCGCTTTTTACCATTCAGTGTCGATTAATTGTTAAATAAAGAAATAATCAGCCACTACTACTAGTCTATGGTCTATCAGCTGATAACATAATTTTATTTGTTTTGAATCGCTGAATTTTATCACTCGGTAATTTATTAAGCTTGTGTCACCAAAATAACATTTAAATTAATGATTGATCCGTGTGTAACAGTCGTCAAGCACCAAAAACTGGTTGCTATGCCTGTAATTAATTAACACATGGCTTATAGCGTCAAGCACGTAAAATATACTCTTTTTATACACATAATTATAGGGGAGTGGTCCATATTGCGAAGGAGCATACTGTTATCGACAACGCAGGTCCATCGGGCCACCTTATATATCCAAACCCGATTACTTATTCCCTACGTTTTTTTTGCCTTATTATAGAATTATTCTAATTCTGTGTTCGTCAAAACGATAATACACAGTTGCCTCGGTGTGAAAATTTTGTCTCTGTTCCTTGCATATAATATTAATTGTATGTTTATTGTTTATATATCTCGAATCACACAGTATCCTGAACATTTCCCTATTTTTGTAACTTCCTGGCTGTTAGTATGGACATTTTCTCGAGATGAATGGGGTTGATCCCTATTATAATCTTCAGATTATCTAGAGCCGTGCTTTTGAGATCTAGCTATCATGATGCTAGCATGTCTTTGTACTGCTTGCATCCTTTTATTTATTGTACAGGGCTTTGTCAATCCGATGCTACCACACAAAGGTGACAAAACCTAGCTTTGGGAGAATTATTTTGTTATAAATGTATCTCGTTCCTATAACACTCCTCGCCCTATAACACTCCTACAGCTGTAGGAGTGTTATAGGGGCAAATATGTTTTGAATAGCCAAATACAGAAACGTCGGAACACAGCCAGTAGAAGTAGATTTTCTTCACTCCGAAATCAAAGTTACCGCTCTTCAGCTTGTGTCTGAAAGAGTGCAATGATTTAGTGACCTAGTGTGTGACGTAGTGTGTGACGTAGTGAGTGACGTAGTGTGTGACGTAGTGTGTGATGTAGTGAGTGACGTAGTGAGTGACGTAGTGTGTGACGTAGTGTGTGACGTAGTATGTGACGTAGTGTGGGACGTAGTGAGTGACGTAGTGTGTGACGTAGTGTGTGACGTAGTGTGTGGCGTAGTGTGTGACGTAGTGTCCACAAATTCATTTAAGTCACGTGATAGCACGTTGTCGAGTTAATTAGTAAATTTGTATTATGTACTTTCCTCAATCTTCAGTTGTTGATATTTCGTTTAAACATCGATTTTTCTAACAATATAGAATGGCAGACATGCGGAATCTTCAAACGAAGTTAATATTCCTACAAATCATCTCGCTATCTCTCTGTGGTAAGCTACGTGACGTGCATGAGCTGCTATTTTACTTATCATTGATCAAAAATATATCAATAATTTATCGTTATAGAAAATAGAAATAGTACCACTTATACCCGGTGAAATGAGATAATATAGTATTAACCATTAAATATTTTTCGCCAAAACCAAAAATTGGGTAGATTGGACCATCGACCGTATCTCCTTTGACACAAAGGAAGTAGATCAATTAAAGTTACCGTTCTCAAATTTATGCAAAATGATACCGGGAATGTAATCGGTCGCTCGTTTTCCTCATTCATTCACGGCCTGAAAATTGTAACGAATTTAGGTTTACTACATCAATCAAACTCAGTAGAAATCTTTTTGAGCTGCTTTCGGGCTGATACTTAGTGTACGTCGGGATAAGAGCTGTAGGTAGTGTGTCCAATGAGGTGAAGTTTATCCAGTAGAAGTGCAAGTGTCGAAAGTATTATCTTTGAATTGACCACAGGGTGACAGGGATATTCAAACAGAAAAGAATCAAGACCTAAATGAAAACATTGAAAATCCATCTGGTTTCATTACAATAAGTTCAAATTGTTTAATTCTCGGTACTTCACTCCTCTGTTTGCTTCATGCTAAATCTAACAGCTGAAACAAACAGGGGTCTGACTCTGAGTTAACAACTTATACTCAAAACGGCATTTTCTAGATGTCTCAGCCTACATATCATAGACTTAATTGCTGTGGCTTGTGTAGTTACATTATCTGATTGGAGATACATCTATTGTTAAATAAGTGTTTTGTTTAAATATAACTTAAAACTAAGATCTTAATCTTAAGTGACTTCCGTCAATACAATTAACGCTCTAGGGAAAAAAGTTTGCTGTTTTTCAGCATTGTAACAGTCTGTATGCTTTGATCTTTCGCAAATACAACAAGGTGTAAAGTTCTAAAATATTGAGAAAAGACAATTTTTTTGAGAAAAGACAATTTTATTATCTATCACCAATTCAATAAATATATATCCGAATAAATTTGATTTAAAATTAAATGATACAAGTATGCTAGCAGCTAGCGCGCTTGTATTAATTGATCAATATACACGCTGTTAAAATGGGTCTTACCACACCACCACTCACATTAGCACAGTTGGTGAACGGACCCAGGCGCTGTTACAGTTAAGCTTTTATGAGCCCTGGTTGACTGCTGAGAGTGGCGACGGGTCCGACATTAATTTTATCTTAGTTTTCCCTATATTCCAGTAAAATTTTAGTTTTGAGTTATATGATTTTTATGCGATAATTAAGTTACAGTTACCTGGGGACCTCAGGCAATCATGTTTATTTTATAAACAGAATATACTCTATTATAGAGATTAGGCGGAATGTCGAATGACAGGCTGAGCGCGGCCCAGTAAAGTTACAGCTGCGCGCAATACATTATTCATTATAGCTTAAAAATTGTTAAATATGCTCGCTATACACTTAACTTTTAGATACCGTGTGTATAATTATATGTACATATTAGTTCATAATACCAAATAACATAACAGTAATAAATAAATCAAAAGCATGAAGAGGTCCAAAACCAATTTAAGCATGACACCAGGTTGAACACATTGTCACCGGATTATAAAAAATAGTATAATATGTCGTTGTAAGAAAAATTTTTTACAGAGCCGGTCGCATAAATACTGCTGCCTATCGAGTGACGGCAAGGCACCTAATAGGCAGCGAAGTAATCGGGAAATGAAGTAATCGGGAAAAATTTGAATTACATGGTTCCTGCAAACCGGAGCCGGTCGCAAACCGGATAACAGGTTAAATCAAATGATTACATAATATACTGATTAAAAGTTTACCATAATGATATTTATGCGATGTATCGCATAAAAGTATACATTAAGGTCAATAAATTTGGTTCACAATAAATTTGGTTACAAAAATTTTGGTAATACCATAATTTTAGTCACAAATTTCGCAAATTTGTATACTACCAGTACCTATAATAGGAAAAGGAAGTAAGAGCCATACTATGACTGTTGTCACGAGTAAAGGCACGGCCTCTTAACACACTGTGCCATTTGTCATGATTTTAGGCTCGATCTCTAAACATACTATGATAATTGGGATGAAAATAGTAAAATGTGAGTGCTGTCACGTCGGCCGGGTGGTTACGTGGTTTTAATACATTTACTTCCCACACGGACGACTGGGGTTCGATTCCCAGTGGGGACCAATCTGGTTCTCAGTGGTGACTAATTCGGTCGGATGCAGCTCGGCCACCAAACCATGGTTTGATGTTTTCATTAGAACTTCTATTCGAAAAAACTTTTGGCGGAAAAAAATTTTAAATTTTCGAAAGTTTTTTCAAAAACTACCTACCTTTCCCAGTGTTTGATTGTAAACCGAGACGGTGCCCGGGTGGTTCTAATGACTAATTTAAATCTTAACAAATATATTATGAAAATTGTAACAATCCCCCACAATTAGGGCACTGCACTCTTAATAAGAAAATGCCACACTGTGTAGAACAGCAACTTTACGATGGAATTTAATAATCCTGTATCTGGTCAAAACCTGGCACAACTTAGCGAGTTTAGAAGGTTTGAGATGTTATTTGTGCTCCCTAGGGTCTCAACTTCAAAAAAAATTTGGGTGGATAATTTTTTATGTTTGTTTAAACCCGTGACCACGCCCTTTTTAAAGCGTGGGAAAATTTTCCCAAAATTATTGAAATTTGCCTATAATATTTGATGGGGGTCTCTAAATGGCTTGATATGATGCCATCAGTATTACTAGAACATAATAAAATAAAATTTGGGTAAATAAAAGTGTAGTGGCACCCTGACCACGCCCATTTACACAATTTTTGGCGGAAAATTCGAAGTTGTTTACTCTAGCAGCAGGGAGGTGTTTAGTGTGTATTTAAACTGCTGAATCAAGTTAAATAGGTTATATAAGTAACTTAATTCAATTAATTGGGCATGTTGAGCCATTAGTTCAGCCTTGGGGAACCACGCCCATATTTCATATTAGGCGCGTATGTGAGAAATTTTTATCTCAGCTTCTGAAGGCCGTAGAAACTTAACTTTGGGCTTAAAACTACCGCAATATGTAAGTTTATATTGACACTATTAAAGTATTAAGGTGCTGAAGCTCTCCAGGACTTACTTTTGGATAAAAATGAGAAAAACTGATATAATTTACTGAAGCGCATTAACCCATATTCACCCATGGGCCTTTTAAAAAAAAACTTCCCTAGCAGCTAGGTTAAGTCAAGTAGGCACATCAATGTATAAAGTTTTACTCGACACAGTGTCCTTCGTAAGGTCTAAAGGTCATTCTGGGCTAGAATAATTTGATTTTGGGTGCCCACTTTTATTAGTAGTCCAACCCTGTCCTAGCTGTGATAAAATTTCTAAACTGCCCTCAGGCGCAAATATATGATTTTTCTATCCATCTCAGCTCCTGAATATTGTAGGACATTCAAGATAACCACAACAGCAGAAAAGCCATATTTATATACATTATACAAGCTATGAAGCAGTACATGGGGTGCATGAAGCAGTATGGGGTGCATAGTTTTTGAGATATTTATTTTTAAAACATGATTTTTAAATAAATCTTGGGCTACCGCATTTATCTTGGGCTACCGAATTTATGTACCAGTACTTCAGCTTATCTTAGAAATCACAAACAACCCGCTGGGCAGCTATCTCTAGTTAAGCTCATTTCAGTACCCGTTGACTATAATATACCCGTTGACTATAATATACATAAAACATTATCGATTTACAATCTACACACTATTTTCAACTCACCCTGTATGCCCACTTTTATGTCAGTACAACCTCCTAGCTCTTTCCACCCACCTCAATCTCATTTAGGAAACTCCAGCACTAGCTAACTGCAGCTCTAGCTATCTTCTGATATTATCCTTTCCCTCCAATATTAGCTCTTTCTACTGACCTCAATCTCATCAAGTGACAAGTAAATTCCGGTTTTAGCAACCTTCAGTTATCTCTAGGCTCCAAATCTACCCTGTTGCTGCCCTCTTCGACTAATTGTAGCTTCTAGCCTGCTAGCTATCACCAGTATCCTACAAATCTAAATTTTATAGCAACCTTTTGGAGGTCTTTCACATATTAAGTAATCATTTTTGGAACATTTTTAAAGAGCTTTAATTGTAGGATGTTGATGCTATTACATGGATAGAGTAAATTGCAACAGTCGTTGCTGGAAAATGATAAAGTTACTTGAAGAACACAAATGGATGGAGCAGGAAGTTATTGGCAGAAGAACTGGAATAGTAGGCTTCCAGTGGCCGCTGGATAGAGCAGAGGGTTAGAAACCGACCGGTCAACGGTTTTGGCCACCGGACGCGGACCGGAAAAGATAGGATACGGTTTGCCGCATTTTGCCGGACCGGAACCGGGTAATGTCGGCCAATCACTAAGATTCACACTCCCTGGCTCGTAGCCCGTAGGACTAACCCCCTACAACTAGTATACGAGTATAGTGCCTTGGCACAGAGTGCAAGTGGGTTAGGGTTACTGAAAAGGATATAAGCATCTCAGGCCATCCCAATACCGGAAGAGAACTGGGGGTCACAATGGTGAACAATTGTGAAAATGGTGAAATTTTACAATGGAAACAAAATCATTCACTATTTGTCACCATTTTACACGATTTTTCACCAAATTAGAATGAAGTTGAAGTCACTGGAAAGAGCTAGAATTGGAGGGAAAATTAATATTAGGATAGGGCTGGAGGTAACTATTAGTAGCTTCAGCGGCTGCACGACTTCCAGGCCCCCCTATTATTATGGGTCAGATCATATGACGTATAATTAGTGATGTGACGCATAATTAGTGATGTGATCCACCATCTATGATTTACAGAACATGTGATTTGAGTCATTACAACAAGTCAGTAATGACTTGCTGCTCTTTAATAACTCTTAAGGGATATGCAGGGAGCAGCCTCACCTCACTGTCCACAATGACTGACCCAAAGTAAGTCTTCTCGAAATAATTAACTATAGACATTAGCTTAGGCAAGTTTGTCTGTATATAGTACGTTATTTCAGAGAATACTTGCTCGACATCAGATCGGCTCACTCCCGTTGCATTTCTTTGGCACGTACGTCTGACATCCCTAGATACGAGAACCCCCCTTAGCTTTACCATGAGCTCCCGTCCCTTATGTGATATACGAGTCGAGCGGTCAAATCTTAAAGATCATGTTTACTTCTTAATGCACAGCTATGATACATACAGAGTTGACATGTGAACTCTACCCTGTATCTCGCCCATTTCTAGGTCAGTTAAATTCTACCGATGGATCACATCACTAATTATACGTCACTGATTAGTGACATGATCAGATCTCCATGGGACCCTAATAATTGGGGGACCTGGAAGTCGGCCTCCTGCTTCAGCTGGACTTTGCTAGATGAGGTTGTACTGACATAAAAGTGGGCATATATTATAGTCGACGGGTACTGAAATGAGCTTAACTAGAGATAGCTGCCCGGCGGGTTGTTTGTGATTTCTAAGATGAGCTGATGAGTGATGGTGCTGGTTCATAAATGCGGTAGTGTTGAACCTTTGTTGTATTTTTAAGCGCAAGATATATTTAAAAATCATGTTTTAAAAATAAATATCTCAAAAACTATGCACTATAGACCCCATACTGCTTCATAGCTTGTATATAAATATCAATATGGCCATTCTGCTGTTGTGGTTATCTTGAAAGTCCTACAATATTCAGGAGCTGAGATGGATAGAAAAATCTTATATTTGCGCCTGAGGGCAATGTAGAAATTTTACTACCTAGGCCAGGGTTGGACTACTGATAAACGTGGGCACCCAAAATCAAATTATTCTAGCCCAGAATGACCTTTAGACCTTACGAATTTTACTCGACCGTGTCGAGTAAAACTTTATACATTGATGTGCCTACTTGACTTAACCTAGCTGCTAGGGAAGTTTTTTGTTTGTTAATGCGCTTCAGTAAATTATATCAGTTTTTCTCATTTTTATCCAAAAGTAAGTCCTGGAGAGCTTCAGCACCTTAATAGTGTCAATATAAACTTACATATTGCGGTAATTTTAAACCCAAAGTTAAGTTTCTACGGCCTTCAGAAGCTGAGATAAAAATTTCTCACATACGCGCCTAATATGAAATATGGGCGTGGTTCCCCAAGGCTGAACTAATGGCTCAACATGCCCAATTAATTGAATTAAGTTACTTATATAACCTATTTAACTTGATTCAGCAGTTTAAATACACACTAAACACCTCCCTGCTGCTAGAGTAAACAACTTCGAATTTTCCGAATTTTCCGCCAAAAATTGTGTAAATGGGCGTGGTCAGGGTGCCACTACACTTTTATTTACCCAAAATTTATTTCATTATGTTCTAGTAATACTGATGGCATCATATCAAGCCATTTAGAGACCCCCATCAAATATTATAGGCAAATTTCAATAATTTTGGGAAAATTTTCCCACGCTTTAAAAAGGGCGTGGTCACGGGTTTAAACAAACATAAAAAATTATCCACCCAAATTTTTTTTGAAGTAGAGACCCTAGGGAGCACAAATAACATCTCAAACCTTCTAAACTCGCTAAGTTGTGCCAGGTTTTGACCAGATACTTTATTATAAACCTCATCTGACAAATATCGCGAAAACTTAAAGTTTTCTGTGCTTTAACGGCCAGAATGAATGACTGAATCAAACAAAAAATTGTATCACAACGGGACAATTCCCCATCTTCAAGCAAACACTATCGTCCCTAATAAAATAACAACACATGAATTGTAAAAAATACACTCTTGTGAAAGCCACACTCATCTCACTGATTTGTCTTCAGTATGAATTGTCCCTCCTTTGATGTAGTGGTGCTTGTTTGGCTCAGCTTCTTTTTGACACGATCCTTCAAAGAGCGGTCTGGACTAATGAAGACTGAGCTGAACTTCTCTGATTGTCGCAGCTTTCGAGCTTGACTGATTATTTGATAGGCTGTACTGGAACTAGACAGAGTAACCTTGACTGGCCTAGTAGTTTTCTCCTTCGACTTGCCAACCCTACTGAGCTCCATTGCTGGTTTCAGTCCAATCTCTTCAAAAATTTCTTCGACAGTTTTGTTCAAGTCTTTACTGGAATCTTCTGACAAACAAAAAATCATAATGTTCTTGCTCCGGTTTTCTGCTTGCACCACAGACTTGACGACTTCCTTCAAAGTCTCGGCGGTAACTGAACTTTCAGGTTGACAAACCATGACGTTTTCCTGAACTGTATCGCTGTACGATTTAAACTGACTTTCTACCGTGTCTTTGACGACGGTCTGCACTGCCTGCAACTGTTTCTGCAACTGTTTTTCTTTGCAGTCAATTATTGATTCCTGAGCGCTGATGACCAATTTCTGATTCTCAATCAACTGATCCTTGATTGAGCTCAATCTGTTTTTCATCTTCTTCAAATTTTCATTTTGAAAGCGAACCAAATGAAACGATTCCGAAAAAAACGCTGCAAACTTTTCCTTATCCTCTAGATTCAATGTCCTTTTAGTCAAAAAGTGTTTGCACAATACAGAAGTTATGTGAATTGGTTCTTCACAACCGAACTGATCCATAACTCTTGTCATCCAATCCTCAGCTTTAAACATAATACTGTCAATCTCCGTGTCGTCCACAGCTGCCATGATGCGAGGCTAAGCCACAAGGTGAAAGGCACAAAATCTCACCGTTAAACAAGGCGAGATAAGAAAGCAGATAAGATAGCAAATTAATCAAACGTATGCTATTAGTGTAGGGCTGAACTGAAGAAATTCCGATCATTTTGAGCCAATAAACATTTTTATGATTTTTGGTTACTTGCTAATTAGTAACTATCCAATTATCTAATTGTCTGACATGAACATTTGTCTTACAAAAGTTTTTCTCGTCGATATGATAATTACCCTCAATTAATTCGTATCCTTCTACGATGTTCAAGCTGAAGATATTTGACAAACAAGAAAGGAGGTAAAAAGTGGCAAAAGTGGTAAAAAGTGGCCTTAAGACACGTGGACAATTTTGGAAAATTTGGCCACCCGAATGAAACTTAAAATTGAACCTAAAAACTTATAAATCCTCTGGAAGGTTCTTCTGTCAGTATATCGATTTTTTCAGACGGATCTGTCTGTACTATAGTACTATCTTTGCACTCTGCACTGCAAATGTCCATATCACGCAAAATATTGACCTTATTAGGTAATCGTGACGTCACGTTATCCATGACAGTTGGCACGAGTACTGAATAGACTGTGCCTGCAGTCACGTCAGGCACGGATTATCAGCTAGGTACGGCTTTTGAAAAGCCGAGTGCCTGAGGAGTTGTCACGTATCCTTGGCACGCCCTATAAACACACTACGTACATAATATGGTCATTACATCTGACCGCACCATGACAACAGTCATGGTGACAACAGTCATGGTGACAACAGTCATGGTGACAACAGTCATAGTATGGTCGGGCCCTTAAATTCTGAGAATAAACTATGGGCGAAATTCATACAATTCCTTTACAATTTTGCTAGAACACCTCTTCTTTAAATTCATGATATTCATTAATCGTTGCTCAGTAGTCATGAATTAAACATACAATTAACAGGTTGGTTACCAGTCGAACGTAACGTGAAAATAGAGTGGGATTTTGAGTCGACACCTTTAGAAATTAAAACTAATAGTGTGCTGGGGAGAGACGATAGGGTGTCAGTGTGGTTCTTCTCTGCTGAGGGAGAGGATGCAGGAGGAGTCCAGCTCTGGTTCACCTCTACTCCACAACACTTCCTCGGCTACTGCAGCCAATCCTTGACTAACTTCCCTGTTAAACCCCCCTCTACTGCTGACAAGGTGTGGCGTTTCACTCTAACCAGGACTGCAGGTGTTAGACTAGTGATACACTGTAACGAGGTAGAGGTGCTCAACAAACTGCTCTCTCAATCAACTTGTACTGACAGTAGGTGGAGCACGTACTGGAACAGGGACGTGACAAAGATAGAGTTCTCCGGCGACACAGCATCTGATTACTACGGAACACAACCAGGTGACTAATAACAACACGCTTTGTTTTAACAAAGTAACAATAACTTTAATTTACAAATAAGCCAACTTGCTGATTCTCTCGTAAGCTCGTGATTACGCGTTTCTGTCTAAATTTCAAGTATATTATTTAGTTATTTAACATAAACGCATATATTATAGGATATGGGATATAGGATAGTTAGTACATATTGTTATTTATCTCTACTATAATTCAAAAGATTCTTTCTGTCTATCTGTCTGTATGTACGACCGCCCACGTGCAAAACAAACGAAAAATATGAACTTGCGTAGTAACCATGGTAACGAAGGTTGTTACACGCACGTGCACGTGCAAAGATTGTTAAAACGGCATTTTTAATCGTTTTTGTTGATATTACGTTGTGTTTAGTGCGAGCAACATTTTAATTGGCTGTATCTTCGGTTGTGTAGGATATTTTTTGACGCGATTTAAACTTACTAACAACTTAACAAAAAATACTATTAGCTTCCTCCCTGTGACCATGGGTTTTCTAGTAACTTAATAAAGTGGTTTTATCAATTACTGTTCTCCGAATGAAATAAAATCATATTCTTTCAGATTGCAAAATAGCTAACTATAATTTAGAAATATTGCATATTTTGTAGTAGACATCATGGAGACAAGCCATTTTCAGCTACTAAGGTTGAAACAATTATCAATTGAAAACTGATGTTTTTACAAAATATCTTGAACATAAACAGTAAAAGGTATTTTACCAAACAAAATCAAAACTTTTTTGGTTCAAGATTTATTTTGCAGAGTTTACACAATATGTGCATTGTGCTTCATAATTTGTTGATGAGGCGAATTTTTAGCGTTAATCCTAATGACTGATAGCAATTTGAATTAGTATTGGGCTTAGAACCAAGAAGGAAAATTTGTGGTACGAAAATTACAAGAACCGTAAGAGTCTGGGTGGCAATAATTTCCTCGAAAAACCGTGGAATATGTGGATATCTAATTTTTCACATATTTCTATAAATCTAATGTTATTGTAACACATCTGAACTGTATTTAAATAGTTATATAATAAAGATTTTCTTATCTTCCACTACGATTTGCCAGTTTTAACGTTATTAATTCCAGAGCCGTGTGGGGAAGGAACATATCGGAATGATACTATGACAAGCTGTGAGACATGTGACGCTGGATTGACACCAAACTCTGATAAAACAGCCTGTGGTAAGATAACTTTAAAGCTTATTAAATTTAATATTATTGTTATGTTTTAAATTTGAATTAACTGTGCTATTGTTTCAAATCTTATGTAATTGTAACATATCTGAAGTGTACATACATAATAACGATTTTCTTATCTTCTACAACGATTTGCCATTTGTAACGTTAAAATTGTAGAGCCGTGTGGAGAAAAAACATATCGGAATGATGCTATGACAAGCTGTGAGACATGTGACGCTGGATTTACACCAAACTCTAACAAAACAGCCTGTGGTAAGATACCTTTAAAACTTATAAAATTTAATTATAATATTATGTTTTATGTTTTAAATTTGAATTAACTGTGCTATAGAAGTATTGGTACTCACAATAACTTCTAAATAAGGTAGTTCAAATGAATTGCTGCTTAAAGATTTCCTAATTCTTCAGAGTCATGTCCAGCTGGAAGCTACAAGAACATTGAGATGAACACATGTGAAGAATGTCCCGATAACACGATCAGTTCAGAAGGAGCAGCCTTGTGTACAGCTTGTGAACTTGGCCAGGAACGAAACTTAGGGAGAACAAAATGTGGTAAGAATTGTTAACAAGAACTGAGCTGAGATGATTATATGTATAATATATAGATGGGCAAAGATAGGCTAAGGGTTAAGACGGGATAAGGATAAGGCGCCAGATAGGGCTTAGAATCAAGAAAGCAAATTTGTGGTACGAAAAGACAAGAACCGTAAGAGTCTGGGTGGTAATAATTCTATCAAAAAACCGTGGTTGTGTGGATATTTAATTTGTCACCTATTGTTTTAAATCTTATGTAATTGTAACACATCTAATTTGTACTTAAATACTTATATAATAACGATTTTCTTATCTTCCACTACGATTTGCCAGTTGTAACGTTATTAATTCCAGAGCCGTGTGGGGAAGGAACATATCGGAATGATGCTATGACAAGCTGTGAGACATGTGACGCTGGATGGAAACCAAACACTAACAAAACTGCCTGTGGTAAGATAAATTTAAATCTTATATTATTGTTATGTTTTAAATTTAATTTAACTGTGCTACAGAATGGTAAATTGTATATAGTATTTGAGACTTGGACCCCCGAGCAAACGATAGTATAGTAATATTTGAGGTTGCTTGAAAGGGTTCGGGTTGGGACAGGAAAACTAAATCGCGGAACTGCGGAAGAGAACATAAGAAACCGTCAAAATAACCCTTATTAATCAGTTTAACGTTATTTAATATGACATATCGACAGTGAGCTGTACGGGACTGAAGGCTGAGTGGAGAACTGCGATCAGAACAAAAACACAGTTCCCAGTAGTCCCGGGAACCGTGGTGGAAGTGAATTGTATTGAATCCAGAGCTCTCAATAAAGGGAGCAGCGAGGTGACCTGCACCTCAGGAACGGAATTTATTTTCGATTTTAATGAACCCGAGTGTATAAATACAGGTATAATTGTAAAAGCGGATATGCTAAATGACCATAGCATCACTACAAAAGGATAACTAAATTCTTCATATAACCAGGGTAGTATCAGCATAACGGAAGAAAGGGGGTAAAATAATGTCGTAAGGGGGAGAGTTGGTTAATGGTTATATTACTATAGAAAACTGATTTAATTTAATGTTACAGTTGATGGGCTATGACAAATAGCTTAGATGATACTGCAATCTAACTTAGATATCCAAATAAGAAAATGTATGTTTGAGTTTTCTGGGTGGAAAAGTATGACAGCAGAAACCCAGAACCCATAAGTCCCCAGAAAAGTTATCGAGGTAACCTGCTCTTACATCTCAACACAACAGCATTTGACAAAGCAAAATAAAATGTAAAATCAATTTAAATTCAAAAATTTAACAAAGAATGCATTTTCATTAAAACATAGTAAAACACTTTGTTGCATAAATACATTAAATTTAAACTAAAACACTTAATACAATCGTGAGATGTACGTAGAATCCAGCTCAATGTTACAACATAAACCCTTGATGATATAGTTTAGTAAATATTAGAAACTAACCGCACATCCGGTGATTTCCATTTCAAATGACAAAAACCAGAAGATCTTAATAAGGTCTAATGATAATATACTTCTATCTCAAGTTATTAATTAACAACCCCAGGAACAATGACGACGATGTATAAAGTCTATACGAATGTCGACAGAATAGAGATGAACAGGAAGAAACTGAGAGAATATCAGCTCCAATTAATTTATGAGAATTCAAGGTCAGTAAGAAAAATGTCCACTTAAAGTGTTTGTTTTTTTTCATCATATACTGCAACACTCCTATTGTGTTGAATTCCCAAAATTCAATTGCTGTTTAATATTATCTAAATTAATTTCAATTTAATTGTGACCAACATTTTACATTTTGAACATGAACTGTGCTGATCACCATAAATTACATGTACAATACCAGAAATAATGTGTCACTTGGCAATAAAATCACCATTTCAGAATACGGATTACAGAAACGAGCTTCATGGCATTGATAAGTGATGAATACCCTGAAAAAAGACACATAACTCCATCACTGTGAGACACATTTGTGTTTTTAAACATTCATAAACATTATTCAATGTTAAATACATATTATTTGTAAATATGTATTTAACATTAAATTAAATTCAAAATCTATTCAAAGATTTAACAAAGGTTTGATGTATTGCTATTATATCATATTATAACAATTTATTTCAGACCCTTACTCAGTAGGAACAAACCTTTCAACTGCAAAGATGTGAATCCTTTGTTGACCATGTTATGAGCTGTGAGCAGTAAGTACAAAAAGCGGAGGATTACTCTATTCGTCGAAATCTTTCAAAAAACTGCTCAATCAACATCCAAAAAATTTTAACAATATTAAGTTATTAGGCTCATATTAATACTTCTCTATGGCGGCCGAGATGACTCACCAAAATTTTCACTGAAAATTTTGAATTAAAAAATTAATTATACAATTAATCGCAAAATAAAAACGATTTTGAATTTGATTTGTAAAATGATTTTAAAATTTAAATAAAAAACGATTTTCATATTGAAGTTGAAAACGATTCTCATTTTTAAAACGATTTTGAGTTTGATTTTGAAAACGATATTGATTTTGATTTTGAGTTTGAAAACGATATTGGTTTTGATTTTAAAAAAGATATTGATTTTGATTTTAAAAACGATATTGATTTTGATTTTAAAAACGATATTAATTAATTTTTTAATTCAAAATTTTCAGTGAAAATTTTGGTGAGCCATCTCGGCCGCCATACTTCTCATACAAATTTACAACAAAGTCTTCATGTTATGTATCCTGAGTTTGGACAGGATAATATTACCCGCTTAAAATATTTCCATCGCGATACATAATACTCAATAAATGTAATAGATTCGTAGTTAAGTGTTGTAATTAGTTTTGAACTGCTGAAGTTTATACAGCCCTAATATATAACAACCTTAGAAAAGCAAACTTATTTGCCTTCGTTTTTAAACCTACTTTCAGCGTTTATCAGCAGCTACAATTAAGGTACGTACCTATAATTAATACGTAGAATCTAGTTAATTGTAATAACATACACCATTGATAGCTTCGTGATATTTTCTAGCAAATATTAGAAACTGACTGGAAATCCGGTGCTTTCCCTTTCAAATGGCAAAAGCGAGAAGATCTTTATATCGTCAATTAATGATAATTTAATTTAATTTTAAGTTATTACTAAACAACTCCAGGAACGAAGACGATGCTGTATAAAGACTATACGAAGGTTCAACAGGAAGAAAGAGAGGATATCAGCTTCAACCAATCAATGAGAATTGAAGGTTAGTAAAAAATTACCCTTTTTAAAGTGCTTTTTCGTGATAACACTTCTATTGTGCTGAATTCCTAAAATTCGATTGCTGTTTAAAACACACATTGCTATTATCTAACTTATTTTGAACTTGACTGTGATCAAATTTTGAACATGAACTGTGCTGATCACCATAAATTACATGTACAATACCAGAAATAATGTGTCACTCGGCAATAAAATCACCATTTCAGATTACAGAAACGAACTTCATGGCATTGATAAGTGATGAATACCCTGAAAAAGAAACAAAACTCCATCACTGTGAGACATATTTGTGTTTATAAACATTTGTTAACATTATTCAATGTTAAATACATATTATTTATAAATATGTATTTAACATTAAACAAAATTCAAAATCTATACAAAGATTTAACAAAGTTTTGATGTTTTGCTATTACATTATATTATAACAATTTATTTCAGACCCTTTCTCAGCAGGAACGAACCTTTCAACTGAAAAAACAAAATGTGAACTCTTTGTAAACTAATCCTGTATCTGGTCAAAACCTGGCACAACTTAGCGAGTTTAGAAGGTTTGAGATGTTATTTGTGCTCCCTAGGGTCTCAACTTCAAAAAAAATTTGGGTGGATAATTTTTTATGTTTGTTTAAACCCGTGACCACGCCCTTTTTAAAGCGTGGGAAAATTTTCCCAAAATTATTGAAATTTGCCTATAATATTTGATGGGGGTCTCTAAATGGCTTGATATGATGCCATCAGTATTACTAGAACATAATAAAATAAAATTTGGGTAAATAAAAGTGTAGTGGCACCCTGACCACGCCCATTTACACAATTTTTGGCGGAAAATTCGAAGTTGTTTACTCTAGCAGCAGGGAGGTGTTTAGTGTGTATTTAAACTGCTGAATCAAGTTAAATAGGTTATATAAGTAACTTAATTCAATTAATTGGGCATGTTGAGCCATTAGTTCAGCCTTGGGGAACCACGCCCATATTTCATATTAGGCGCGTATGTGAGAAATTTTTATCTCAGCTTCTGAAGGCCGTAGAAACTTAACTTTGGGCTTAAAACTACCGCAATATGTAAGTTTATATTGACACTATTAAAGTATTAAGGTGCTGAAGCTCTCCAGGACTTACTTTTGGATAAAAATGAGAAAAACTGATATAATTTACTGAAGCGCATTAACCCATATTCACCCATGGGCCTTTTAAAAAAAACTTCCCTAGCAGCTAGGTTAAGTCAAGTAGGCACATCAATGTATAAAGTTTTACTCGACACAGTGTCCTTCGTAAGGTCTAAAGGTCATTCTGGGCTAGAATAATTTGATTTTGGGTGCCCACTTTTATTAGTAGTCCAACCCTGTCCTAGCTGTGATAAAATTTCTAAACTGCCCTCAGGCGCAAATATATGATTTTTCTATCCATCTCAGCTCCTGAATATTGTAGGACATTCAAGATAACCACAACAGCAGAAAAGCCATATTTATATACATTATACAAGCTATGAAGCAGTACATGGTGTGCATGAAGCAGTATGGGGTGCATAGTTTTTGAGATATTTATTTTTAAAACATGATTTTTAAATAAATCTTGGGCTACCGCATTTATCTTGGGCTACCGAATTTATGTACCAGTACTTCAGCTTATCTTAGAAATCACAAACAACCCGCTGGGCAGCTATCTCTAGTTAAGCTCATTTCAGTACCCGTTGACTATAATATACCCGTTGACTATAATATACATAAAACATTATCGATTTACAATCTACACACTATTTTCAACTCACCCTGTATGCCCACTTTTATGTCAGTACAACCTCCTAGCTCTTTCCACCCACCTCAATCTCATTTAGGAAACTCCAGCACTAGCTAACTGCAGCTCTAGCTATCTTCTGATATTATCCTTTCCCTCCAATATTAGCTCTTTCTACTGACCTCAATCTCATCAAGTGACAAGTAAATTCCGGTTTTAGCAACCTTCAGTTATCTCTAGGCTCCAAATCTACCCTGTTGCTGCCCTCTTCGACTAATTGTAGCTTCTAGCCTGCTAGCTATCACCAGTATCCTACAAATCTAAATTTTATAGCAACCTTTTGGAGGTCTTTCACATATTAAGTAATCATTTTTGGAACATTTTTAAAGAGCTTTAATTGTAGGATGTTGATGCTATTACATGGATAGAGTAAATTGCAACAGTCGTTGCTGGAAAATGATAAAGTTACTTGAAGAACACAAATGGATGGAGCAGGAAGTTATTGGCAGAAGAACTGGAATAGTAGGCTTCCAGTGGCCGCTGGATAGAGCAGAGGGTTAGAAACCGACCGGTCAACGGTTTTGGCCACCGGACGCGGACCGGAAAAGATAGGATACGGTTTGCCGCATTTTGCCGGACCGGAACCGGGTAATGTCGGCCAATCACTAAGATTCACACTCCCTGGCTCGTAGCCCGTAGGACTAACCCCCTACAACTAGTATACGAGTATAGTGCCTTGGCACAGAGTGCAAGTGGGTTAGGGTTACTGAAAAGGATATAAGCATCTCAGGCCATCCCAATACCGGAAGAGAACTGGGGGTCACAATGGTGAACAATTGTGAAAATGGTGAAATTTTACAATGGAAACAAAATCATTCACTATTTGTCACCATTTTACACGATTTTTCACCAAATTAGAATGAAGTTGAAGTCACTGGAAAGAGCTAGAATTGGAGGGAAAATTAATATTAGGATAGGGCTGGAGGTAACTATTAGTAGCTTCAGCGGCTGCACGACTTCCAGGCCCCCCTATTATTATGGGTCAGATCATATGACGTATAATTAGTGATGTGACGCATAATTAGTGATGTGATCCACCATCTATGATTTACAGAACATGTGATTTGAGTCATTACAACAAGTCAGTAATGACTTGCTGCTCTTTAATAACTCTTAAGGGATATGCAGGGAGCAGCCTCACCTCACTGTCCACAATGACTGACCCAAAGTAAGTCTTCTCGAAATAATTAACTATAGACATTAGCTTAGGCAAGTTTGTCTGTATATAGTACGTTATTTCAGAGAATACTTGCTCGACATCAGATCGGCTCACTCCCGTTGCATTTCTTTGGCACGTACGTCTGACATCCCTAGATACGAGAACCCCCCTTAGCTTTACCATGAGCTCCCGTCCCTTATGTGATATACGAGTCGAGCGGAGTAGTAATGTAGGGACCGTTCAACCAACATTTTGGACCGAACCGGGGCAGGAAGTGATTATAACCCTAACAGGAAGTGATTATCAGCCTAACAGGAAGTATTAACCCTAATTATAGCCCAATTAGACATCAATTACTCTAATCATGACGTACAACAGGAAACTCACCCTTCCTCTCAAAGTAACCGATACAGGAAACAGTACTAACCTAGAGGGACGCAGTGATTATAACCCTAACAGGATGTAATTATGACATTAACAGGAGGTATTAACCCTAATTATAACCCAATTAGACATCAATTACTCTAATCATGACGTACAACAGGAAACTAACCCTCCTCTCAAAGTAGCCGATACAGGAAACAGTACTAACCTAGAGGGACACAGGGATTATAACCCTAACAGGATGTAATTATGACATTAACAGGAGGTATTAACCCTAATTATAGCCCAATTAGACATCAATTACTCTAATCATGACGTACAACAGGAAACTAACCCTCCTCTCAAAGTAACCGATACAGGAAACAGTACTAACCTAGAGGGACACAGGGATTATAACCCTAACAGGATGTAATTTTGACATTAACAGGAGGTATTAACCCTAATTATAGCCCAATTAGACATCAATTACTCTAATCATGACGTACAACAGGAAACTAACCCTCCTCTCAAAGTAACCGATACAGGAAACAGTACTAACCTAGAGGGACACAGGGATTATAACCCTAACAGGATGTAATTATGACATTAACAGGAGGTATTAACCCTAATTATAGCCCAATTAGACATCAATTACTCTCATAATGACGTACAACAGGAAACTAACCCTCCTCTCAAAGTAACCGATACAGGAAACAGTACTAACCTAGAGGGACACAGGGATTATAACCCTAACAGGATGTAATTATGACATTAACAGGAGGTATTAACCCTAATTATAGCCCAATTAGACATCAATTACTCTAATCATGACGTACAACAGGAAACTAACCTTCCTCTCAAAGTAACCGATACAGGAAACAGTACTAACCTAGAGGGACACAGGGATTATAACCCCAACAGGATGTTATTATAGTCGTTAACAGGTAGGATTAACCCTAATTATATCCCAGTCAGTCATTAATTAGCCCAATCATGACGTACAACGGGAAATTAACCCTAATTCATGCCAAAGGAAACGGTATTAACCTAGAGGGCTCGGCTGTGATGATTTTAATCCTAACAGGATGTTATTATAATCGTTAACAGGAAGGATTAACCCTAATTATATCCCAATCAGCCATTAATTAGCCCAATCATGACGTACAACAGGAAATTAACCCTAATTAGTATCAAAGGAAACGGTATTAACCTAGAGGACTGCAGTGATTTTAATCCTAACAGGATGTTATTATAACGTTAACAGGAAGAATTCACCCTGATTATATCCCAATCAGCCATTAATGAGCCCAATAGTGACGTACAACAGGAAGATAATCCTTCACATCAAAGGAAACGGTTCTCAATCTGTTCTCAACTGGTCTTTGAGAGCGAATAAGAATAGAAAACAACAGATTTCGGCTATCTAGAACAGATGTGTTTCATTAGAATATGTTTACTCTTTAATTTGCTCAAAGTTAATACGAGATGACATACAAAATTATAAAATAATTATCAATTTTATAAAATCTTACAAAAATTAATTCCATGTGAAATATTAGAAGCGTCTTAGATCAGTTATAAGTTCCTGTGAACAGATGCGAACATTTATAAGATCTTGTGAACAGATGCGAACATTTATTCATTCCCTTTGAACAGATGCGACCATTTATAAGTTCCTGTGAACAGATGCGAACATTTCTTAATTCCCTTTGAATAGTTGCGAATATTTTATCTGATAAATTAATTCCACAAGAATAAATAAAGGCAAATGTAAATATTTTTAAAATCGCACGGAATATTTTATCTGATAAATTAATTCCGCCGGAATAAATAAAGGTAAATGCGAATAGTTGAGAATATTTTATCTAATAAATTAATTCCACAGGAATAATTAAAGGCAATTGTGAACATTTTAAAAATCGCATGGAATATTTTATCTGATAAATTATTTCCGCAGGAATAATTAAAGGCAATTGTGGACATTTTAAAAATCGCACGGAATATTTTATCTGATAAATTAATTCCGCAGGAATAATTAAAGGCAATTGTGAATATTCTAAAAATCGCACGGAATATTTTATCTGATAAATTAATTCCGCCGGATTATTTTATCTGATAAATTAATTCCGCCGGAATATTTTATCTGATAAATTAATTCCGCCGGAATATTTTATCTGATAAATAAATTCCGCCGGAATAAATAAAGGTAAATGCGAATAGTTGAGAATATTTTATCTGATAAATTAATTCCGCCGGAATATTTTATCTGATAAATTAATTCCGCCGGAATATTTTATCTGATAAATTAATTCCGCCGGAATATTTTATCTGATAAATAAATTCCGCCGGAATAAATAAAGGTTAATGCGAATAGTTGAGAATATTTTATCTGATAAATTAATTCCGCAGGAATAATTAAAGGCAATTGTGAACATTTTAAGAATCGCACGGAATATTTTAACTGATAAATTAATTCCGCCGGAATAAATAAAGGTAAATGCGAATAGTTGAGAATATTTTATCTGATAAATTAATTCCGCAGGCATAATTAAAGGCAATTGTGAACATTTTAAAAATCGCACGGAATATTTTATCTGATAATTCCGCCGGAATAAATAAAGGTAAATGTGAATAGTTGAGAATATTTTATCTAATAAATTAATTCCACAGGAATAATTAAAGGCAATTGTGAACATTTTAAAATCGCAGAGAATAAAATATAAACAAATTATAAGTTAAACTGATGCAGTTTAAAAATCATATAATAAATAAAGCTGAAATGACACACAATTGAATAAAATTACGAAATTTTACATACCAGAACCTATACATTAACAATTTAGACAAGTCTAAAATAGCTGCTCCTAAGTCCTAATTAAATCGGCTTATCTAACACGATAACAGGCTTAACAAGTTCTAGTCCAACCAGTTTATCAGAGAAAATGCAAAACCTCTCGAATCCAGGTTTACTAGTCTGGAAGCGATGTTGCCTACCGTTCCGTATCAGTCTAATGTTCGCTCTGCTAGTGTCCAAGTGACGTCCCATATCCTTGAAATCTTGGTGCAAATCTGTAGTTTCAACTCAATAAAGTAAACTATCTGTATCCGTAAAATATAATTTAATGTCAGTATATTTAATCTTGTGAACGTCATACCAGAATCGATACATTAGCAACTTTCATATTTAATTCCGGTATTATGCTTCCAAAGTTTTAACTATTATTATTACGGGCTTATAATTAAAAAAATAATAATTTGTTCAGTTAGTTGGAAATCATAATTTGGGGTATTATTGTTATTTAGGTATATGATTAACACATGAAACACAGCCCATTGTCGTAAAGATAATTTATTGTCTGCTATCATCAATGTATCAAATCTACATTCAATTATCATTTATAAGCATTCGTAGTCCATTATCATAAATGATCATTTCATTGTCAATAGTCCATAAGACTCTTAATATACTTAATAAATAGACATACAACTGAAGATAATGACTAAATTTCGAATCGCAGTTTGAAAATATCCAAACGAAGGCAGACAATGCGCATTGGGATCCATTTGGTTGATGGTCGCTGAGTTTTTGCATATTCTATCGCGTCTCTGTACTCCACATCCTCCAGCAATGCGTTGATATCTGCATTACTACTGATCCTTTTTGGTGTTTCAAAGATTTTGCTGTTGTTTGAGGGATGAAAAAATTTCAATTGTCCATCAATCCTTTCTTTCAAAATGAATCCAAATGATACATTAACTTTGATCGATCTGCGATAACAAGAAAGAACTCTCTTGATGTTCGATTCGATTTCAGAATCTGTCTCCGTTAGTAATGGGAAATGAAAGATATCTTTCAGTTTTCCTGACTTTGAACCATTCATTGTATGCCAATGATTTTGATAGATTTCTTGAAAGGCAAGCGGGATCTCTGCAAGCGAGCTTTGTAAATTCATTTCTGAGCTAGGTATAATTATTGTGAAGCAAGCTTCTTTCATTTTTAAAAAAATAATATACGGCTAAAAGTTTTGTTAAAATATTAACTTAAAAAAAGTAGTTTGGGATGTTAATTTTAAAAATATACATTTTTATAATAATATAAACATATCTAGCTATTGATTGATCATACATCCTACACTGTTAATGTTTTACTGTTTGGTTTAAAACAATAATTAATCTACTGCTAAAATCAATTAAACAAATAATCAATTAAACAAATAATCGAATAACAAACAAAAATAGATTAATGACATAAAATTGTTTAAAATTAATGGTAACCGTATTCTTGTATAACTTTAAATATTTAGGTAAGTTGTCGAAACACCATCAGCTAGGAGAATCCGTTTACAATAGAAATTTTTCAGACCCTCTTTTGAAGTGTTGTATGTAAGCAATTGATTGTTTTTTAATATAAATCCTCTGTTGGTCTGCAACAATTTACTAGTAATGTCATCGGAATCTTTACTAACCATTTTGTCGTTATCTTTCTCCAGAACTTTCAAGTAATCGTCTCTCGTCAACTTCCAACGCTTACTGATGCCTTTACTACTATATTTATCTAATTTCTCGTCATTGTGGAAGCAGAAGTACGTTTTTGAATTCAATCCAACGAACCCGTGACCACTCCATTCAACTTTGAACAGCCCTAAGATTTAACGATTGAATTTAAAAATAAGTTACTATAATTTTTATATAATGCAACAAAATACCCGCTATAACCCCAATCGATTTACATGACTTAAATTAGAGGTACAGTAATGAAACAAATGATTTGCGTGCGTTTATGCAACAAATGAACATTGAACAAAGCAACTAACCAGGAGTCCTCTTATCGTAAGCAATATTAGCTTTGGTATCTGTCCTAGGGAACCACTTTGTCTTTTCTAACAACCAGACATCCCTCATGTCCTCTTTTATAACCTCGTCCAAAGTGGCAGCGTTGAGTGCCATGTACAGGCTGTCTGAAAAAGCATATTTTAAACTCAATACACGAACAAATATTTTCACTTTTGTGGAGTCAAAAATCTGTGTTTTGACTCCACAACATAATCTTAGACGAACCTTGACTATAGAAGTAAATACTTTATCACAAACCTGTATCCATTTCAAGCAGGCAAAATCGTTTGCGATCGATAAACTTATCTACGACATCGTAGTAAAATCGTAACATGGCCAACTTCGCATATTGATACACAAAGAAACCAAGTTGTAATGGTAAATCATACTTGACCTTCTTGACCTTGGAACGTATCTGAAATAATCGAGTCAAAATATATAATATTGTTTGTGCCTTTAATCATATTATAAATGTGTATTTAAAATAGTTATATACTTATATTGTAGTAATATATAATAAGTATGATCTTAGTCAAATTATGTCGAACTCACTTCGAATGTGTTATCATCATATTGCTCCAAGTCCATGAAAAATGGATCATTCACAGCTTTAGAAGCCTTATCATTGTCCAAAAACTTCACTTTTGAGTGTTTCTCTTTGTTCATTATGCTGTGACCGTACACGCTGTTTCCTGAGTATTTAGTGTCAGTAGAATTACACCGCTCTGTGCTGCCAACCTATCCATTGAAACAATATTACACTACATAAATATATGGATTCAATCTGATATGTCCGAGATTATAAGTTAAATACGGACTTATTTTAAAGATAAGATTACCAGAGATACCATCAGAGATAACTTAAATTGTATTATAACTTCTATTAGGAAACAAGGAATTCTAACCAATAAGTTTAGAAGTATCAGCTACTATCTTCTTGTCAGGATCTTGATCACCTACAGATTCAAGTCAGGAGATGAAAATCATTAATTAGTAATCCAGAATCTTATAATGCTTCACTAAAGTAATGTAACACATTACTGCTTGTTGTGATTGTCTACTAATAATAGTTCATATATAATTCAAATTGTTTGTTAACTAAAACTAAAAACATACCTGCCCGTCGGTCATCAGATACTTCATCGGCAAATGTTTTAAAGCATCGTTTTGGGTTAAACTGAATCAGCTGGTAGATCTTTGTAACTAGCAATCCTTGCTGTAAATACCACCTTAGAAGCGGGGTGATGATCAGTATCTTCTCCCCAAACATTGATCCAATTAGGTAACGTGTTGGTTTAAAATGTTCATCCCGACTTTTTAAGAATGATTGCATGTGCTCCCCAATATCGTTTTCTGTGATCGTAGTATTTTTGAAAATTGGAGTCATTTCAGAAAACTTATCTTTAAGTATCTCTGGTACGTGTATATCACACTCCACAGCTCCAAATATGGTTCCTGCCTCAACTGCTGTAAGTATTTCTGATTGAGTGAGTCTGTATTTCTCTTCAAATGGATACAAGTACTTGTTTACCAACTTTGTTGACAAGGCAGCCTTATCTTCCTTCCATTTACACTCCCATTTTACTTCCAACCTGTACCCATTTTCGGTAATGTACTCGCTTGTCTTTTCTGTTCTCTCAAACCTTTCATCCAATGAAAGCCAACCGTTCTTCTTCTCGTCACGATTATCTTTCTTACAAATTGGGCAGCCGTGAAAGAAACATCCCATAAACTGGTAAACTGTTTTGGTCTCCCTGAAACATAATTTATTAATAATAACAGTAAATAAGTTTTACTGGTCAAATAACTGTTTAAAGTTAATAGCATACCTCACAATAAAGTTAGTCGATAATTTAATGGTTATAAACAGTTTATGGTATAACGGTTCATTGATTATTGCTATTTTGAAAACTTCAATGCATTGACAGAAAAAGCTGACGTAAGGATTAAGCTTATGTGTTCACCTGCAATATCCGTCGACAGGGATCCTTTTGGGTCCAATTTTGTGTTCAGTACCATTTCTTGCATGTGTTATACTTATCTTTTCTTTGTCTTCGATATAACTTAACCATTCAATTGAAACAGCAGAACAAGGACTGGGATATTTTTTGGTGTAGTTGTCTTCCCGTTTTCGCCTTAGATACGGTCCACATGGCATTTCGTCTGCCATACATGCTGGAAAATAAAGGCTTGAGTTACAATCATTGATAAATCAAATACATGATTTGGTATTTCGGTGACGGCAATATTAAAATTTGTTTTCTTTTTACTTGAAAACAAAAAGAAAAAAGTTCTAATCAATCTATTAATATGGTAAATAGTATCTTTATTATTGTTAAACATTATTACCTAAATACAGAGCATTCGCGTCGAAACCAACAATAGCCTTGCAGTCTAATCCGTCACTTCGATGTCGAATCTTTGTAACCCCTGACCAAGAAGGAAATCCGTTATTTTTACATAACCTTTAAGTTAATTACTTAACCATGATTATTAATGTTTGTCATTAAAAATGGACTCAACTTCTAGAAATAAGAAATTTAATAGTTACCACTAATAAAAATGTATTGTGAAATGAAACTTACCGACTTCCTGATATCTATCAAATATAATAGAGGGACCACCGACATTGTTGTTTCTAAATAACTCAACCAAGTCTTTGTTTTGTTTGTTGAACAGATAGAAGACCTCGTCCTGCTTCAGTGTTCTAAACGCGAGCTTTTCAGCAACACCTGGGACTGAAGACCTTTCATTAAATGAGAATTTGAAAAGTATTGAATATAACAATTTTCACTAAAGACAAATCAGTAAAATATTTTTGAGTTTCCAAGAAAAGTAATGCACTACATTATTTTAGATAGCTTACTAAAATTGTATTGGATAGTAGTACTTACCACTCAAGGCTTCTTTAAAAACATCAATTCCCCGTTCTTTGTAATAACCACTCAAGTTTTCAAGTGCAACAATAAATGGTCCGACGTCTAAGTTGTTGTAAAAAGCTAGGTAATCTCTTATACACCAATCATTATCTTGAAACATCGTCATTAACTGTGTGTAGCGGGACATGCCAACACATTTCCCTTCTTCTTTGTGATGGGATCTTTAAAAGATGGAGATCGGCCGATCAATTCAGCCTCTTCGTTACTTAATTTAAGATCCTTAGTCGGCTCCAAAGTGTTCTGATTTTTCAAACTTGAGTAAAATGCCTCGTACTCAGGAAACTGCTTACAGGAAAGCTTATCATAACTATCCAAAAACTCATACGGAAAGTAGGATTTCTGTTGATCAGCTTTGTATGCTTTTAAGAAGGAATCGTAGTTGAAGCCAGGTGCTATGTAGAAAATTATGTCCAGGAACTTGAAATCAGCGGTTTTTATGGTCATATAGGAGGAGCCTTTTTTTATTACATACTTAATGGAGTCTGACTTTACTAAAACAGGAATCAAGTATTTCTTTAAAACATTGAGATCATAACGGGCCCCATTGAATGAGATAACTGGGAGCTCTTCAAGGTAAGACACGAATTGAGCGAGTAAACTTTCGTCACTTATACTTTTGATTACTTCTGCGAATTTTTGTTTAAGAATATCGCTCGATTTCTCACTTATCTGTTTCAAGTATTCTACGAACTGTTCCACCAGTTCTTCTTGCTTCCCATCACCACTAAGTACAAAGCATTGTGGCTCCTCAAACCCTGGAACATTGCTACACACTGACACAGAAACAAGATGGTGTTCTGAAGTGTATTTTGTCTTAACGGTGTCCTCTTGAGAGAAAACCTTACATAGCATACACTCAACATCAAATGTTGCCCGAAAAGGGAACACTCTTAACTTTTGAGGAATAGAAACTCCTCCCTTTTCCAGTTTTTCATAAATACTTTCTTTGACTTCAAATGCTCCCCTACCATAAAACCTTTTTACACCAGCTTCGCAAGTTTTTAGATGCCTATTGAAATGACCATGGTGTCTCCATAAAGCATCACACTTCGGACACCGAAATGATTTTGAGTACAAGTCAATATTTTGATGTAGCTGAAGTGATCCTGAAATAAGTTCATAAGTAATGGATTTTCTCTTTCTAGTGTACTTCTGAAAATGAGATCTGTTACACCGGCCTCAGTCTGCTCATACACTTTGATGGAAACTCCAAAGATACGGGATACCTCTTCAAGTTGATCTAATGTCACTCCCTCAAATTTGATGATTGATGCAGTCGTACAATATTTTTTGAGCAAACCCTTTGCTGCCCCCTCTAATGAATCGATCTTACTTCCATTACGTAAGGCAAGACACCTAAAGAAACATTTCCTATCCGAGTATGGGCGGCCATGCCAAGTTTTCACAAGAGAATATAGACCCTTATTACTTAAGAGATGTTGAGGCAAATCGACGAATGAACCTATAGGAATACCTAGAAGCTTGAAAACATAGAATGATACATTTGTTACTTCAACAAACACCCACTGACTGTTAGGTCGATCAACTGCTTCAATAAGACCAAGATTCTGCAGTTTGTCCAAAGCCAGCTCTTTGTCATTTGAGTTGCGTACTAGTTGCGTTTCTTCAAAGAGTAATTGATTGTTTTGAGAGCTTCGATAGTACGCCAGTTCTCCTGTCACTCGGTTTCTTAAAATAACCCCTAATGAAATGTTAAATTTAAAAGCATTTCGCTGCTCTTTGAAGATAATTTGGAAGTAGTGAGCCAGCTCTAAAGATGATAATTGAACAATCTTGAAGTTGTGTATCGTCCTTATAGATCCACGGCTAACAAACGTGTTTATATGTTTGGCATAGTCTTTATAAATGTCCAAAATATCTTGATCATCTTCACTGTTTGCGTGATTTTCTTCTTCCATTGGGATACTAGAAATATGGTCTTCAGTCATAGAAGTATCATGATCGAAGTTTAAGTTCATTGTATGCTCAACTCTATGTTCTTGGTATTGAGATGATTGAACAGATGCTCCGCAAAAGTCACAGAACTTTCGACATTTACGACCATTTCGGTGGGATTCGAGCTTGTCTGCTCGCTTGATACCACCACACAGGTCGCACTCGACTAGGCGTCTTTTAGGTGCCTGACAAACATGGTACAAAATTTAATTAATTTTTCATTAAGATAAATAAGTGCTTGAAGTTGATTTCTGACAATACTATTTCGTCCTGTAATTTTATGAAATACAACTGATTTTCATTCATTGGACCCCTTTTAAGGAAAAGTCTCGTAATAGAATGTAATACGAAATTTTAGTTGTGCCGAAATTATGCAGATAACTAACCTGTTCCGCTTCTGATGAATCGCTAATTTCCATACAACTTTTGTTTGTTTATATTTTTATTCGTCTCTGTTAACCTAGACAGGAAAATATAAACATACGATTTGTCTTTATCTTTAATCCATTAAATTTAATTTAACATTACAGACTACAATCCGTATCATTTCAAAATGAGCCTAAAATTTATAAAAAAAAATAAATAATACGTCTCTTTGAACAACCTAAATTATTTAAACACAGCACAACCAGTCACGGGAGACCGGTGGCTGAAATTTACTAAATATTAGGCACATACCTGACGTCCTGACGAGACTGGTAACTTCAGTTGAAGAACTACGATACGATTATCAATACAGAAAGACGACAAGGCAACACAATAATAAGGCAAAGGAGTTTTCAACAATTCGACAAGATGTTTCAAATACGAATCAAACAATAGTTTTGAAATGATGAAAACAGTTTTTATACCCAGCGTTGTTTTGTTTGGCTGGCGGATGGTGTGCGGATAAGGAAGTTTTGAACTTCCTTGAACTATTGACATTAAACCCGTAATCGTGTTAGTCCGCTGTTAGATTATAACATGTGACTCACTAGTTTCCTTCCGTAATTGTTTACATTTGTCTAGACACAGCATTAATTGAATATTTGGTGAACAAATAAGGTCAAAAAACCCACAAGGGTTATTTACGCTGTACACTATAATACCAAGACCTTCATTTCCTGTTTTTTTTATTTGGCTGTCAATTCGTCACTCGTTTACCTGCACACATGGAATAAGGAGGTTTAATGTTTCTGAACAAGGTGGCCAATTACTCATATTAGCTTATTAGTGACAATCACTACTTCCCCTTATAATTATTATCGGCCCAGTGTAGGTTTCTTTGAGAGGACGGGGTAGTTTCCGGTTGTACGTCATGTATAGATTCTGGTATAACGTTCTCAAGGTCTAATATACTGACATTAAATCATGTTTTACGGATACAGATAGTTTACTATATTGGGTTGGAACTGCCGATCTGTATAAAGACTATCAGGATATGGCCAGTCATTTTGACACTAGTAATTATCCCACGGTTCATTCATTGTTGCGTTTAAGTTTAACTAACAAGACAGTTCCGGGCTCAATGAAGAATGAATTTGATAATTCACAATTGCCTTTAATTATTCCTGTGGAATTAATTTATCAGATAAAATATTATCTGCGATTTTTGAAATGTTTACATTTGCCTTTATTTATTCCTGTGGAATTAATTTATCAGATAAAATATTCTTAACCTTATTTACCTTTATTTATTCCGGCGGAATTTATTTATCAGATAAAATATTCCGGCGGAATTAATTTATCAGATAAAATATTCCGGCGGAATTAATTTATCAGATAAAATATTCCGGCGGAATTAATTTATCAGATAAAATATTCCGGCGGAATTAATTTATCAGATAAAATATTCCGGCGGAATTAATTTAACAGATAAAATATTCCGGCGGAATTAATTTATCAGATAAAATATTCCGGCGGAATTAATTTATCAGATAAAATATTCCGGCGGAATTAATTTATCAGATAAAATATTCCGTGCGATTTTTAGAATATTCACAATTGCCTTTAATTATTCCTGCGGAATTAATTTATCAGATAAAATATTCGCAACTATTCAAAAGGAATTAAGAAATGTTCGCATCTGTTCACAGGAACTTATAAATGTTCGCATCTGTTCAAAGGGAATGAATAAATGTTCGCATCTGTTCACAAGATCTTATAAATGTTCGCATCTGTTCACAGGAACTTATAACTGATCTAAGACGCTTCTAATATTTCACATGGAATTAATTTTTGTAAGATTTTATAAAATTGATAATTATTTTATAATTTTGTATGTCATCTCGTATTAACTTTGAGCAAATTAAAGAGTAAACATATTCTAATGAAACACATCTGTTCTAGATAGCCGAAATCTGTTGTTTTCTATTCTTATTCGCTCTCAAAGACCAGTTGAGAACAGATTGAGAACCGTTTCCTTTGATGTGAAGGATTATCTTCCTGTTGTACGTCACTATTGGGCTCATTAATGGCTGATTGGGATATAATCAGGGTGAATTCTTCCTGTTAACGTTATAATAACATCCTGTTAGGATTAAAATCACTGCAGTCCTCTAGGTTAATACCGTTTCCTTTGATACTAATTAGGGTTAATTTCCTGTTGTACGTCATGATTGGGCTAATTAATGGCTGATTGGGATATAATTAGGGTTAATCCTTCCTGTTAACGATTATAATAACATCCTGTTAGGATTAAAATCATCACAGCCGAGCCCTCTAGGTTAATACCGTTTCCTTTGGCATGAATTAGGGTTAATTTCCCGTTGTACGTCATGATTGGGCTAATTAATGACTGACTGGGATATAATTAGGGTTAATCCTACCTGTTAACGACTATAATAACATCCTGTTGGGGTTATAATCCCTGTGTCCCTCTAGGTTAGTACTGTTTCCTGTATCGGTTACTTTGAGAGGAAGGTTAGTTTCCTGTTGTACGTCATGATTAGAGTAATTGATGTCTAATTGGGCTATAATTAGGGTTAATACCTCCTGTTAATGTCATAATTACATCCTGTTAGGGTTATAATCCCTGTGTCCCTCTAGGTTAGTACTGTTTCCTGTATCGGTTACTTTGAGAGGAGGGTTAGTTTCCTGTTGTACGTCATTATGAGAGTAATTGATGTCTAATTGGGCTATAATTAGGGTTAATACCTCCTGTTAATGTCATAATTACATCCTGTTAGGGTTATAATCCCTGTGTCCCTCTAGGTTAGTACTGTTTCCTGTATCGGTTACTTTGAGAGGAGGGTTAGTTTCCTGTTGTACGTCATGATTAGAGTAATTGATGTCTAATTGGGCTATAATTAGGGTTAATACCTCCTGTTAATGTCAAAATTACATCCTGTTAGGGTTATAATCCCTGTGTCCCTCTAGGTTAGTACTGTTTCCTGTATCGGTTACTTTGAGAGGAGGGTTAGTTTCCTGTTGTACGTCATGATTAGAGTAATTGATGTCTAATTGGGCTATAATTAGGGTTAATACCTCCTGTTAATGTCATAATTACATCCTGTTAGGGTTATAATCCCTGTGTCCCTCTAGGTTAGTACTGTTTCCTGTATCGGCTACTTTGAGAGGAGGGTTAGTTTCCTGTTGTACGTCATGATTAGAGTAATTGATGTCTAATTGGGTTATAATTAGGGTTAATACCTCCTGTTAATGTCATAATTACATCCTGTTAGGGTTATAATCACTGCGTCCCTCTAGGTTAGTACTGTTTCCTGTATCGGTTACTTTGAGAGGAAGGGTGAGTTTCCTGTTGTACGTCATGATTAGAGTAATTGATGTCTAATTGGGCTATAATTAGGGTTAATACTTCCTGTTAGGCTGATAATCACTTCCTGTTAGGGTTATAATCACTTCCTGCCCCGGTTCGGTCCAAAATGTTGGTTGAACGGTCCCTACATTACTACTGAGCGGTCAAATCTTAAAGATCATGTTTACTTCTTAATGCACAGCTATGATACATACAGAGTTGACATGTGAACTCTACCCTGTATCTCGCCCATTTCTAGGTCAGTTAAATTCTACCGATGGATCACATCACTAATTATACGTCACTGATTAGTGACATGATCAGATCTCCATGGGACCCTAATAATTGGGGGACCTGGAAGTCGGCCTCCTGCTTCAGCTGGACTTTGCTAGATGAGGTTGTACTGACATAAAAGTGGGCATATATTATAGTCGACGGGTACTGAAATGAGCTTAACTAGAGATAGCTGCCCGGCGGGTTGTTTGTGATTTCTAAGATGAGCTGATGAGTGATGGTGCTGGTTCATAAATGCGGTAGTGTTGAACCTTTGTTGTATTTTTAAGCGCAAGATATATTTAAAAATCATGTTTTAAAAATAAATATCTCAAAAACTATGCACTATAGACCCCATACTGCTTCATAGCTTGTATATAAATATCAATATGGCCATTCTGCTGTTGTGGTTATCTTGAAAGTCCTACAATATTCAGGAGCTGAGATGGATAGAAAAATCTTATATTTGCGCCTGAGGGCAATGTAGAAATTTTACTACCTAGGCCAGGGTTGGACTACTGATAAACGTGGGCACCCAAAATCAAATTATTCTAGCCCAGAATGACCTTTAGACCTTACGAATTTTACTCGACCGTGTCGAGTAAAACTTTATACATTGATGTGCCTACTTGACTTAACCTAGCTGCTAGGGAAGTTTTTTGTTTGTTAATGCGCTTCAGTAAATTATATCAGTTTTTCTCATTTTTATCCAAAAGTAAGTCCTGGAGAGCTTCAGCACCTTAATAGTGTCAATATAAACTTACATATTGCGGTAATTTTAAACCCAAAGTTAAGTTTCTACGGCCTTCAGAAGCTGAGATAAAAATTTCTCACATACGCGCCTAATATGAAATATGGGCGTGGTTCCCCAAGGCTGAACTAATGGCTCAACATGCCCAATTAATTGAATTAAGTTACTTATATAACCTATTTAACTTGATTCAGCAGTTTAAATACACACTAAACACCTCCCTGCTGCTAGAGTAAACAACTTCGAATTTTCCGAATTTTCCGCCAAAAATTGTGTAAATGGGCGTGGTCAGGGTGCCACTACACTTTTATTTACCCAAAATTTATTTCATTATGTTCTAGTAATACTGATGGCATCATATCAAGCCATTTAGAGACCCCCATCAAATATTATAGGCAAATTTCAATAATTTTGGGAAAATTTTCCCACGCTTTAAAAAGGGCGTGGTCACGGGTTTAAACAAACATAAAAAATTATCCACCCAAATTTTTTTTGAAGTAGAGACCCTAGGGAGCACAAATAACATCTCAAACCTTCTAAACTCGCTAAGTTGTGCCAGGTTTTGACCAGATACTTTATTAAACCTTGTTAGGCAGCTGTTAATAGTAAGTACAAGAAGTGAAATATATTCTTCTCGTTTAAATTTTTCTATAAACTGTAGAAACTGTTCAATAATTATTATTTCATGAAATGTGATCATTTCGACTTTTACGTTCCGAACACGAAATGTGGTGTTTACCAAAAACTACATAATACCAGATTTTTGTCACTCGACCATTTCAGAATCCAGGAACGAGCCTCATGATATTGAAACGAAGATCACAAGAAAAGACACAGACCTCCGCCACTGTAAGATACTGCTGTAACCAGACATTTTAAGCTATCTTAATGAACAATTTGACGAGTAATAGTATCAACCTACTACTGAAGATGGTAAACATTGTACACACTACAACAGTAGAACCGGTGTCCTTTTTAACATTTTAAGAAATGCAACCGATTGATAAATGGAATCGGATTAATCATTTTAAACTTTTTCATAAATCTGCATGTATTGCTATTATATCATACTAGTGTAACCCGGCCTTCAGCCGGGATTTCACTGCCGCAGTTAAAAAGGGTAGGAGTAATTACCCGCTGAGTCAAAACCCGCATTAGGTGACCCAATAGTTTCTTAAACAATAACAAATAATCTCATAACCAGTTATTTTTTGTGGATAATTAAGTCATTATTAGCCATGAGGCACCACATTCCATGATCATAAGGTCTGAACACCGACTATTACACCTCTTCACTCCCGTCTTGAACCGCTTTCCATTTTTACTTAAATCGTTATAGAAATTAACCCTTGTTAACTCCGCACCACACCCGCCTATTATATTTGAAAACACGCATATATTTACCAAAAACTACATAATAACAAATTTTTGTCACTCGACCATTTCAGAATCCAGGAACGAACCTCATGATATTGAAACGAAGATCACGAGAAAAAAATAGACCTCCGCCACTGTGAGATACTGCTGTAACCAGAAATTTTAAGCTATCTTAATGAACAATTTGACTAGTAATAGTATCAACCTACTACTGAAGATGGTAAACATTGTACACACTACAACAGTAGAACCGGTGTCCCTTTTAACATTTTAAGAAATGCACAACCGATTGATAAATGGAACCGGATTAATCATTTTAAACGTTTTCATAAATAGATAAATCTGCATGTATTGCTATTATATCACATTATAACAATGTATTTCAGACCCTTACTCAGTAGGAACGAACCTTTCAACTGATAAAACAAAATGTGAACCCTTTGTAAACCTTTTTAGCCAGCTGTGATAGTAAGTACAAAAAGTGAAAAATATTCTTCTCGTTTAAATTTTTCTACAAACTGTTCAATAATTATTATTTCATGAAATGTGATCATTTCTACTTTTACGTTCCAAACACGAACTGTGGTGTTTACCAAAGACTATTATATATATAATACCAGATTTTTGTCACTCGACCATTTCAGAATCCAGGAACGAGCCTCATGATATTGAAACAAAGATCACGAGAAAAGACACAGACCTCCGCCACTGTGAGATACTGCTGTAACCAGACATTTTAAGCTATCTTAATGAACAATTTGACTAGTAATAGTATCAACATACCACTGAAGATGGTAAACATTGTACACGTACCGAACAGTAGAACCGGTGTCCCTTTTAACATTTTAAGAAATGCAACCGATTGATAAATGGAATCGGATTTTTTTGAGAGATATAACTTTAAATCATATTGAACGTTTTTATAAATCGGCATTCAACGAGAAATTTTGAGATTTATTTTGAAATTTAAAAAATAAATGTTGTGTGAAGTGTGATTATTTTTCTTTAAGTGTATATTATTACTTACCATTTTTAACTGGTGTTTTTTTAAATAAGAAATTTAAATACATTTTTACTTTACAATTTACATTACTTTTTTAAAGTAATAATTTAAAAGCACATAGTTTTCTTACTTTTGACTTTTCAGTTTTACATTACTTCGTTGGTAATGACTATGATTTGTTTCAAACAGATGCAATAATTAAATGTGTAATATCACAACTCTCTTTCGAATAAAACATTTCAGCAAGGCCTTAAAATAATACATCACAATGCTGGCAAGCATTACCGTCGTCCTTATATTCACAATACTATTTACCCCCTATACTATTATATCTCCTTTATTGTTTTCCAGGCATTAAGACTTTTTCGAAAGTAGTTCAGCAGGTACATTTAAGTTCAAAACATTCTAATTCAATGTTAAAGATGACAGGAATAAAAAATAGTTATATGGAGGTTTTTAAGAAATTTGCGCAAAATACGCGCCAGCATGTTATACGAAATTAGGTAAAAAACCCAAAATCGCCATATTCAGGTGCCTTAAAAACCATGTTAAAATTGAGTTAGAGATCTGAAACTTTGCAGGGCGTCTAGACCTTGTCCAAGTCGACAGTAAAAAAAATTTCATGTTTCAGGAGTATCGGGAAGTAGGTTTTCTGGAACCCCTGTTTTACAACAGATTGTCGTGAAGATATATAATAATATGTATAGACGCTTTTTGCAGTCAATTGTAGCCTACATTTAAGTGTCCGTAGATTCAAAAGTATAAAAGATACAGTCATTTCGAACCACAGGTTTTAAATATAATCGTTTATACTTTACTTTATTTTATATTGAAAAATAATTTATCATCATCATCATCACTTGATGACGTCATCAATTTAAGTGTTTTTAAAACTTGATTTTTGACAAAACAACAACTTTTCAAATCGATTTTACACCATTAAAGAGTAATTTTATTCAAAATCTGAGGAAATTTTTACCTTAGATAATTGTTCAAGCATTCTAAAAATCTACCGGAAAAGTTTCCTACCTTACTCCTTCATAAAGATATTTGCTATTGAAGTTAGTGCTTTTTTGAAGAATAATTTTATAAAAACACAAAAGTTGTGAATTAGTATTCTCTGGTGTTGGGCTATCCCTTGGGTTGTGGAGCTCAATTTTGCTTCTTAAAGGTGTAAATTGTGTTATAGGCTAGTTTTAAAGTTAAAAATCGAAAAGTTGCACACGTGGGGACACGCCCAAATTGATTTAAAATAGCTAAAATCACTAAAAATTTTGATTTTCACGATTTTTATCAACTTTGGAGTCCCGTTGTGATCCAAGTTCTTTTTGAAATCTTCTGAAACTTTGCATGCTTATCAAACTATATATTAAATACCACTATGCAAAAATTTACGGTGATTTAATATTGTATGCGCACGCAACGTCCGCTCAAAGTTTGCACGTGCGAAAGGTGAGAATTTTGCTCATTCGTGATTTCGAATATATTCTGCTTTCCACGATATTTAAATGGCATTATATATGAATTTAATGCCAACTTGAATGAGTAAAAAGTGCCATATTCAGTCGGTTATCGACAGATATACCTAACTAAACACAAGGAAACGTTTTCAAAGGCAGAATTTCGAAATCGTCGAAATTACCTCCTTGTTAATGAAGTTTCGACTAGCTGTGTAAATTATCCTGACATTATAATCAAAAAGAGATGATATTTGACCAAAACCCATAATCATGGGTAGAGTGTACCGCTGCCAGTGTCTCTCTTTTCCAAACAAAAGGAAATGATATTAATTTGAGGAACAGTCCGCTAATGCAAATTGATACCGAGAATGAAATCGGTCGCTCGCTTTTTCCATTCGATCACGGCTCACGAATTGTAATAAAGCTTATTGATTTGAAAAAGCGAGCGACCGATTTCATTCTCGGTATCAATTTGCATTAGCGGACTGTTCCTCAAATTAATATCATTTCCTTTTGTTTGGAAAAGAGAGACACTGGCAGCGGTACACTCTACCCATGATTATGGGTTTTGGTCAAATCATATATATATGATAAACAAATAAATAATTGAACAAGGTACTGTAAGTGCTTCTAAACTCACCATTTAAACAAAATGCCACTATAAGATCCAAAATTAGTGGCTCACGACATGAACTTATTGGCCAAAATTAAAGAGTGAGAAAATATTCTGTTTAAATCATTTATGGCAGAAAGCGACCACAATGTTGTGTAATTTACTATTTGATAATGTCAACGAAATACTATTTAGATTATTATGCTAATTATTTTTAATTTACTAATTTTGTTAATTATAATAATTTTGCTAATTATAATAATTTTTTTAGTTATACTAATTTTGCTAATTATACTAATTTTGCTAATTATGTTGATTTTGATAATTATACTTATTCTGATAATTTCACCTGATTTTTTTGTGAAACTTGGTTTCAAGATAGCAGTTGACCAACAAACTAGGACCGCGGTGACCGAACTTTTGAGGGAGTCCCGGACCCCAACAGCCAAACGGTGCCCGCAGGGCAGCCACGCCCATATTTGGTCCAAATTAGGCCCAATTTAGCCAAATACCCTGAATATGCCTGGTGTCAAGTCCTTCAATGACTGACGCCGTGCTCCTTGTGTACCTCATTGTTCCAGCTTCAACAACAGTAATATATTCGGGTAGAGATATACTTACCAAATCATTTACTATTTTATAGAAGAGCGTAATTGAATTATGGATGAACTTAGATCTAATAGGTAGAATTTTAAGCTCCTTCTGCTTCTCATAGAATACAATATCACTATAGTGATCAAACTGTTGTCCATTGATCCATTTGATCGCTCTGATCGCTTTGATCAACTGCTATCTTAAAGTTTAGCTCTACTCTCTTTCCCTCTTTGGTAGTTTTGTCTTTAGAATGACCGGCTACAGCTTTCAGTAGGGAAGCTGTATAAATAATTGGGGGGAACATTTAAAACAACGTAGATTAGGAGTTATCTACAAATCTCCAGAAAAGTCATTTTGGGCCGATCAAAAGTTTGCAACTTTAACTTTGCAGATTCCTTACTATGATTGGCTGAATTGTGTCACGTGCTGGCTGCTTGAAGATTGGAATGCGCCCCGCGTGCAAATCATGCTTAATGTCGCGCGCGAGGTCAAACCGTCTGTTTAAATTAAACCACCTCTAGTACCACCCGAGCGTACTAAATCACTCTACAGTCGATCTTCGAGATTGTTCTAAAAGGGCCCCCGACAGTTGAAACCAACTTCAATCGATGTATTTTCGGACGCTGATTCCGAATCACCCCCCATGACATAGGGTTAAAATGCTCCCCTGACGAGATACAGGCGAAAAACTGTCTCGATCACGTGATATGACCGTATAAGGAAGTTAAAATTAAACCACCTCTAGTACCACCCGAGCGTACTAAATCACTCTACAGTACCACCACCAGCCAGTAACTTTTGCTGGGAGTTCTTTAAATGAGATCATTCTGGAAATTGGCGACGACCTTCCAATAGGACTTTCACAACTGTCCGAAAAATTTGATGGATATCGGAGTTGATATAGTGATCAAAATGGGGCAAAATACGATGCTTTTAGCTGTAACATAATGTCTGATGGTTGGATATGCTTTAAATTTTTCGGACACTTTCCTTGTAAGTCTATGAGTAAGCTTACCAATTTTTGTTGCAATTGGAGGTTGGGAAGGATACTCAATATTTGGAGGACTTCGCCGCTTCGACGCGCCGCGCGAACTAGCATTTTTGCTTCGCGTCGTCGATCGTTGCTCTGCTTCGCAAAGAAACGATCTCGACGGATTGACATCGTCAATCAACTCAGTATCTATTTGTTTGAAGAAAACTGTGCTGGCCGAAATTAGCTACAGTCGGCACGCGCGGCTCACTGTCGATGGCGCACTACCTAGTTAAACTAAAAATACTCTTGCACAATTGTAACTGCAGTTTTACAGAACTCTAAATACTTAATGAACACACTTGCACTTGCAGTTGATTGACGATGTCAACCCTTCCTAGCTCGGCGCGACCCAGTGGTGCATCTCGCCGATCTACGGAAGGTTGCGAGAAGCATTATTGGATGCGCGCGCGACCCAGTAGTGCATCGCGCTACAACATGGGTGTTTCTAACAACATGGGTGTTTCTAACCTATGCAAAGGTTAGACTAGCCATCTCTACAACAAAGGAAAGGCTCTAATAGCCTCTACTAACCTTAGAACCGCAGCATAACCGCTTTTCCCACAAGCAAATAACACCTTCCGCAGGAAACTAACACGCCCACATGACGTGTGACCCCAGGATTTGGTTTTGGATCAGACACTCAAAACAACGATAGAGGAGCGGTCTACACGCTCACAGGCTACCATGTCTCGTGTAACCCCAGGATTTTACACGTTCACAGGCTACCACGCCTCGTGTACCCCCAAGATTTAACACGCTCACAGGCTAACACGTCTCGTGTAACCCTAGGACTCTAACACTTAACAGACTCTAACACGCTCACAGGCTTCCACGTCTCGTGTACCCTAGGATTTGGTTTTGGATCGGACACTCAAAACAACGATAGAGGAGCGGTCTACACGCTCACAGGCTACCATGTCTCGTGTAACCCTAAGACTCTAACACTTAACAGACTCTAACACGCTCACAGGCTTCCACGTCTCGTGTACCCTAAGATTTGGTTTTGGATCGGACACTCAAAACAACGATAGAGGAGCGGTATACAGTGACGTTACAGGAACATAGCATACTCCTACGAGTAGCACGTAGCAGGCCATGACCTCCCCTGGAAGTCCCTGTCTCTCCGTCGTTAACCCGGCGGGGTTGCACCAGGGGCAGTGGTAACAGAACTTCAAGACTCTCGGAGTCTGTTGTCGATATCTATGTTTAATTGTTAATATATTTATGGTATATAATTTGGGAGTCTCTCTCTCCGGCAGCAGGAGTTGGAGAATGGGGACGAGTTGTGAAAGCCACCGTAAGGAAGGCTTACTGTCGACGCCGACCTTGTAGGTTTACAACCTACCAGGACGCGCGCCGAGTTGGACTCGTCGACGACTCGACGGTCCTGGAACAGGACCGTCGTTTATATGGAACAGA